GTGTGTGTGTCTGTCTGTGTGTGTGTGTGTGTCTGTGTGTGTGTGTGTGTGTGTGTGTGTGTGTGTGTCTGTCTGTGTTTGTGTGTGTCTGTCTGTGTGTGTGTGTGTCTGTGTGTGTGTCTGTGTCTGTGTGTCTGCATTAAGTTTCATTGTTATTTTCTTCCTCAGAAAATTAAATGGAGAGTATTGGAGGACAGTGGAAATGATAACAAATTTTCTGTTCTTTATATGTGGTGACTTGCATTTAAATTGTAATTAGCGTGTAAAATAAACCTTTGCGATTCAGCTAGTAATAATGGGAGATTAATTGTAATGATCAGGTGGGAAAGCAATAAGTTTATAAACATATAGAATTTGGAAACATTTGGTGTGAAGAGCATCTCTTAACATTGCTTTTAAATGTGCTGTGTGTGTTCAGTCAGTACTTTATGAGAGAAATAAGATACTTATAGCTGAAATAGTAGACTTTAGAAACATGCATGGAAACAAACTATTGTAGATTAAGAATTTTTAATATAATTTAAATAATTGGATTTCCTGATATTGCTTTTTTTGGCAGAGGTGGAGAAGCAACTGCAGGGAAACGTGACTCCTCAGCTTTCGTACAAGAAGCCCCACGCCGGCAGCACCGGAAACATCCACGGCCTGGTTGTCATGTCCGACCAGATTGTCACGACTGGCATGGTTCAAGGTGAGTTTTATTCACACAGAGATGTTTTATGCTTCCTTTGAAAGAACAATGTTTGTGTGTTGATAATAATATATTTTCTCCTCATGTAACAAAACTTTCAAAGCTGCAGAAGATGGTGAAAATTTCTCCTGGTTGAAATTACATGAGTGTATAGTATTACTTATTACGTATAAAATTATTATTAATACTGTGTTTTTCTTACCATTCACTCTTGTTTATTAGAAATAATGATATGCCAGTGTTTTTGTTGTTGTTGTTGTTGTCTTAAAAATCAACCTCTTTTGATTGGAAATTATTAATCCTTACCCTAAAAGTAAAGGACACTAATGTCTACTTTTCACAGTTTAAAAAAAAATAAAAAATGCATGTCATTATTTACTTCTAAGTATTAGTTTACTTTTTCCAGCATGCATGGTTGGGATAAATTTACATGTTTAAAATAACACTATTTTCAACACTAACATAAGGATGGGGGGAGGGGGGTGAAAAAATCAGTTGTAATCCAACTTTTAATGAAAATTTCAGCTATATATCTCTCAGCTCCACCTACAATTACTGTATTTGAATGTATGTATTGTAACCCTCTCCCTATGGATGGCATTATTGTAGTCCCATGAAAACTGGCGTCATAATTGGCGAATTATGGGCAAAAACAGTTACCCACAATTTACAAATGAAAGGATTCCTTAACTTAAAATGAACGGAAATGATGGGATACGTTTCAAAGTGAAGACATCCCTGTCGATCTGGCTTGAATTAAAGCTCTGTGATTTTGAAAAGCCTTCATTAATTACATAAATTAATTCATTAACTTTACATGAAGCCTTTGGGACATATTCAACATTTTCTCAAAAATGGCTCCAATTTTTTTTCTTCAAATTTCTTGTAAGAATAGAGTGACATACTTATAAAGGTGGCATAGGTCTGTTTTTCACTGTTAACACTGAATTTTCGAAAATTGTAAAAATTAGAATTTTTTTCGACTTTCTACAAGTAAGAATATTGAAGATAGAGATTTTTCCTTCATAAGAAATTTGTTGTTAGTTCTTTCATTAAGGTCATGCACGTTTTTGTGAAAACAATTTTGTGCATTGTTGCATATAATATGTGCAAGTTTAAAAAATAACAAAAACAAGATTTTTCTCAATAACATCTCCAAATTTTTACTTTGTTCTGGTATGGATAATACTAAAGGTACTCTATAAGACGGCATAAATGCCATTTTGCACTGATCATTTCTTTTTTCAAATATTACTCATCAGTTTTTTGTTTTTTTTCCTTCTGTACTCTACTGTCATTAGTATGTACATTATATTATTTATAAGTACATGTGCATTATATGATATAAAATTTCGGGTTTTCTGCGAAAATGTACTCAAAATTACGCAAATCCATAAACGCTCAATCGCCATTTCCAGAAAAATTACTCCAAATTTTTTTCTTCAAACTTTTCGAACGGATAGTGCTAATTGCACTGTTTAATATGACAAAAATTCATTTTGGGGTATTCTTTATTTTCCAAAATTATTTTTTCTCT